GAGAGAGAGAGAGGAGTCGCCTCCCCCGAGACTCACCCTCATCATACTCGTCCGGCGTGGTCGGGCTGATCTGACCATCCGTGGGGATCAGCTGCGTACGCCGTGCGTCACGTAGCCGCGTGAAGAAGTCCACGGCGTAGTCGATGATGTCGCCGGGCTGCTCCAGCAGATAGCTGATCGTAAACTCCAGCAGGACGTCGCGCAGGTCGTCCGGCACCGTGATCTTGCCGGCGTTGCGTTGGCAGCTCATCTTTCCCCGTTTGGGATCTCCTCGATCTCGTCGATCACACAGCTGCCGATCACCGAGTATTCCACTCCCTCCCTTTCCTCCTGGCGCGTTATCGCTCCGCGTTCCCGGAATTCCGAGCTCGACGCCTAGGCTAGGCTAAGCTCCGGACCTCCGGAGCTCCCGCACCTCGCGTCGCACAAGCCGATTTGTCACGCGCTACCGTCTACGTCACGGATTCTCGTGTGGAGTCTCGCGCGAAGCGGGTCGAAGTGAGCAGCGGAGCGGCTACCGGAGGCGGAGGGAGGGGAGAGCTTTAGGCTAGAGCCTAAGGAGCTATGGAGCTATAGAACGCGCGGCAGCTAGAGCCCGGAGCTGGGCTCTAGAGACGGAGCCGGGGAGAGGAGCGAGGTACGCTCTGGTCGCGTCGTATCGCCGCCCACCTTCGGCGCGTTGCCGCTTCGCCACCGCCGTCGTCGTCGCGCCGCACCGCGCCACACCACACCACACCGCACCGCACCACACCGCGCACCGTACCGCACCGCACCGCACCGCACCGCACCGCACCGCACCGCACCGCACCGCCGGCCGTTTGTGCGCCGGCAGATCGTCGCCGCTGCCACCGCCGTTGGTGAGCTCCCCTCGCTTCCCGGTGCGCTGCGCTGACTACCGACGACGGGGCTGGTTGCCTGCCGTGACGACGCTGCGCAGGGTCGCGCGGAACACACGACGGGGACCCCCGAGGACACGGAGAATGAACCGATCGCGGTCGCTAAGATGGCGACTGATAGCGCCCGCGCCCGCACCTCATCGCGCCGCGGATCGCGCGACGGGATGTGCGGGTACTCACGCCGAATTCGCATACGTTCGGGTCTGATCGTTCTCATCGAGCACGATTCGTACGAACGAACCTAACAATGAAGTTGTGCGCATACTCTGATTGTATATTACACATATGTATCTAAATATCCGAGCACCGATTGTTAAAGATGAAATTAAATTTATTTTATATAAAATATACTTATTTTCTTTAATTTTTTTCATACTTTGTCTTTGGGAGATTACAAACTGTCAACAACAATGAGAAACAGAAACGATTTACACGGCGTCGTTAAATCTATAAATGAATTTAACGATACTGCGTAAACCATGGAAAACATAAAAGCTACTAATAGAAGTCAAATTTACGAAGTCTGGCCGTATGTAGTACAAAGAGAAGAGAATTCAAAGATTGTTATATGAGAATCAATGTTTATTATTTTTTCAGCCATACTGTGTGAAAAGAAGAGTCACGCCTGATGGAACATCCGGCGAAAAGAGTGTTACATCGATCTTATTTCTTATAACCGCAGCTACGTCTGCGGCCTCTCGCCCGCTCGAACTTGCGACCCTTAGACCTCACATAAGGTTTCGTGTGAGAATGTGGCACGCCAGGTGCCAGGCCAAAGTGCTTAACGCTCTCGCGAGCCTTGCGCGGGCCTTGCATCAAAACCGTGCGTTTGCCAGTCGGGGCGCGTAACGCCAAGTTGTCAAATGTGATGATTTCACCACCAGCCTTCAAAATGCGTGCTCGAGCCTTCTCAGTTATGCGTAGAGCACATACCTATAAAACAAACCCATAAAAATCAATTGTCATATATATAACATGAATCTAACAATTTTATGTACAATATGTTCATCAATCATTTACCGTTAACTTGGGGACCTCAAAGATCCTGGCGTCATCGGTGACAGTACCGACAATCACGGCAATGCAATTTTCTCTTCCAGGTTTTTTCATAAATCTGACTATTCTTGCCAGTGAAATCGGTGGTCGATGAATCTTGCTCATAAACAATCGTTTCAGAATAATCTTGTTGAATTTTGAATTTGTACGTCTTGCCAGGAATCGATATAGCTAAAACAAAACAATTTGTTATCTCAATATAGTACTTTCAATAAATTTGTAGTTTTTACTTATACTCTTGTTTAGATCTTCACAGAAACATACAATTTATTAAAAACTAGATAAAAAAGATGCAAAAAAGATGAACATAAGTGATCTATAAAATCTTCATTAAAATTTTGTTCTTATAAAAGATCCATAAGAGCATAATTATACTACAATTAATAATTAAGATACTACGTGTGCCAACTATAATAATCGCTCTTTTATTTATATGCAAACAAGCGAGATAGGATAGTTGACAAATATTTCTCTAGCGAGCTTTCAAATTGAATCGGTCTATTTACAAAAGACCTGACACAGAGTGCAACTCGCAATTTTGAAAACGTAAGGCAAACGAATATTTGATACACGAAATCTCTTTCATTTGATTCAACTGAAATTGTCAAAAACTAAAGGAAGATTCTTGGATGTATGAAATTTTTCTATGATGCACGTAATCAAAACTAACCTCGACATAGGATCATCAGAAAAGATAAACATGCATTATTTAATGAAATTCGTGTAAAGTGAAATCGAGTGCTTCCGAGTGATAGTTTGACGTACGATATTTTGTTTCGTGGACGTGGTAAAGACATTTACCTTGACGAGAAGTCGTAAGTACACATCTTGCGACTTCGGCTCCGTTCGCCGCACTTTCCGATCATGCTTATGATTAATATCGATACCCTGCGAAAGAAATACACGCCGTTAATTAAAATACGTGCAATTTAATATCTTATGATCACATTCGTGCATCGCGATTGACACACGTCAACGTAATATCATTCGATTTTTCGACAAAATCGGACACGGTCGCACCGTCTTACCATTTTGACGAAGCGGAAAAAGAACGCACGCGAGCGAGTACCACGCGATCGAAGAAAGCGGAAATGACAGATGGCGCGGCCGTCGACGAGTCCGTCGAACGCAACTATGTCGGTCACGTGTTACCGACGTTGTGGCATAGATGTCGGCCTCGGCGGCCTGATTTGAATTGTTTGTGTATAAACCCGCTAAAATGCGGCGAACGGAAAGTTGACCACGCGCGTCTTTCTTTGTCTCACTTATTTATATCTTTGGTCCGCGGATTGAAAATTTTTAGTGGAAACTCGAAAAATTTCCCGGTATGGCGAGTTTACTGGATCTGTGCGAGCAATACTTCGGCGCCCGCAACTTTTACGACGTGCTGAAGATACCGAAGACCGCGAACGACAAGCAAGGTGAGCGACCTGGTGACATCGACCATGTAGCGTCCTAACCTCACTGTGTATTTTGACTCTCGAGCTCCTTTTTTTTTCTATAACAATGATAATCGTTATTTCTATTATCAGTTAAGAAGGCTTACCACAAGCTATCATTGCTTGTGCATCCGGATAGGGTTGAGGAGAACATCAAGGCGGAAGCGACAGAAAAATTCAAGGTTCTCGGTAGAATACATTCCATCCTCAGCGACCGCGAAAAGCGCAAAATCTATGATGAATCCGGCCAATACGATGAGGAAAGCGAAGAGGTGATAATGCGGAACTGGGCGGATTATTGGCGATCCTTGTTTAAGGAAATCACTGTGCAAGATATCAACAATTATGAGAAGAATTACAAGGGATCGGAAACAGAAATCAAGGATCTTAAAAGGGCTTACATAGATAGTAAGTCTTTATATGATTTCAGAAATATCTTTTTATTTATAGATTATTTTCTGCCATTTTTTATATAAATTAATATATCTAAAAAAAATTGATTTGATTTAATGTTTGGTCTGAATTAAATTTAAATTTTTAACATAAAAATATTCTCCATATAGGATATTTTAGTATTATGATTTGTATTTTAGTATTATGATATTATTTATCAATATATTTATTTTTTTCATTTTAGGTAAAGGAGATATGGATTATATTCTGGAAGCTGTTCCGTTTACAAATTGTGATGAAGAACCTAGACTGCACGCCATAATTGAAAGTTTAATAGAAAAAGGTGAAGTTCCGGAATATACAGCTTTTACTAATGAAAATGATAAGAAAAAGCAGCGCAGGAAAAGAAAGGTATGATACTAAATAGTATATTTTCAATTTATACCTTAAAAATATGTTGAAAACAGTACAAAAATATTTTTAAAATTGCAATAGAAGACAAAAGACTAAATATTAGTATCTCTATGAAGAATTGACTTTTTGAATCAAAATTTTTAAACTGCAGAACTTTTAAACAATTTTTTTATTAATGGGAAGCTTTTTATTTTCAGTTAAAAAACATAAAATTTAATAGTTTTATTATTGAAAAAAATAGATAAATAAACATTACATTGCAAATTTAAGCATGATTCTGTCTGCTACTATGAAACATTTTATATCTCAATCTCAGGTACCAATGTAACAGGAGTTAATTTTTTTTAAAATATATACATTATCTCAAAATTATGACATTCTAAATTTTATGTTATATTTTTATCAAATGTCTAGCAATGTCTCCTTTTATCATTATTTTGATACTCAGAAAGTCTCATTTTCTCACTCATTTCAACGTATCTTAAATATAGCTATTTTTAATATGATTTTGTATAAATGAATTTTTCAGAGCATCTCAAAAAATTGCAAAGATCCGTTAAAAAAAAAAAAAAATGAATTGTGACATAAGAAAATTACTGCAAAGCATCGTTTTCTCATCGGTCGCGAAACTTCTTTCGCGTTCACATAATACTCGCGTATCGATCTCTGACCGTGATCGACCGCATTGTAGCGCGGAATTGTAGCGCGAATTTTAAATCACTTTAGCACATCATTGCTAAATGTCACTTCAACAGTCTTTTAACGCCCCGCCGCTCTATTTTCAAGCTTCTCTATTTTTACCGATAGACTGTACAGCTTGACGGGTGGAAGGTAGTAGGAGAAATAGGAGCCCCACTAGGAGGGGAAGGTCTAGTAAATAAGTAACCTACGAATGTGAGAACTGCTTCAGTCCGCGTTACAATTAGTTCGACCGTTTGCCGTTAATCGCAAAGCACGAACGAACGAAAAATTTTTCCCGCAATGACCGTCACGCTCCATTACGTTTAATTGTCGAAATGAATACAATAGAAGACTCTTCTTCTCACGACGATTATTGTTGTCATTAATTAAAGCAAATTGCATTATTCTGCCCTTGCATTAATCCTCTTTGAACACGCCGACGTGAAAGATGGATAGTGCCGCGATTTTAACATTATTTGCCCTGCTAATCGCGTTTGCGGGCGATGCCGCGGCGTCGTGCAGGAAGATAGAGAACGTCAACATGTTGGAATATTTTTGCGAGGGTGGCCACCCCGTCGATTTGACCACTGTGCCCGAGACGACTGAAAAACTGCGGATCGTCAGGATGCCGCTTCGCAGAATAACCGCCGATACGTTCTCGAAATTCGGTAGGAATCTCTGGGTGTTGAGCTGCTCGTATTGCGAGATCTCGGACATCGATGCGGACGCCTTTCGACATCTCGTCGATCTTCAGCAACTCAGCTTGAACAACAATCGCCTGACCGAGGTCAAGGGGTCCTGGTTCGAGGGTCTGGACTCTCTGACATATCTCGATCTCAACTACAACAATATACGCGATATCGAAGACAGTGTCTATAGAAATCTACCTAGTCTCGTGGACCTTAGGATCTCGGGAAATCATCTGCGATGTCTGAACCTCGACGAAATGACACATCTGACGGAACTGAAGCGTATATTCCTCGGCGAGAATTCCGAGTTTATCTGTCCGTACGCCGTCAGCCAGTTTCTCGAGAATCAAGGCGTTGTTTTCGAGCAAGATCCCGAGTGGCGAAGACTCGCCAGTGACATGATCGACGTTCACGTTCCACCAGTCCCGGAAGAGAAAAGCAAAACCCGGCCGATATACGACGAGAACTTGCATCCCCCTGGGAGACCATCTTCGGGGGAATCGGAAGAATTTTACGGGTCGAGAGAGAGACCGTTTCATTCGGACTATTCGGCGGAACATCGTTCACGTCATAGAAGACCGCCGACTACGACCCCGCGACCGACGACACCGAAGCAAACGGAGAGATTGCCCGTGCCACGAGTCGAGCCCGTATATCCAGTTACGGACACGAGACCCTCGTACGCACCGTCGGAACCGTCGTCGCACCAGGTAATGCCGCACCCAACGGAGGCGCCGCAAGTACCGCCCTTGGAAGATATCAGGATGTCGGAACCACGTCCTCACGTCAGACCGGAACAGATCTTGACGTATCCGCCAACGATGTACGAAACGCCGCCCCCTTGGTATACGACACCGGAGACGTCCTTGGATGTCAAGGACAGATCGAGATTATCTAAAGTCAGACTGGAAGAGATGTTGCCGTATTCACCAACGATGTACGAAACGACGCCGTATTGGCGACCGATGCCGGAAAGACCGCGAGCACCACCCGTGACGTCAACACCTTCGTGGGAGGACATCAGAATGGCAGGAACCGACAGGCCATCGCAAACGGAACGCACGTATCCGCCGCACATTTCGACCTACGAAACTACGATCTACGATGCGTATCCCACGTCAGAGAGGCCGCAAGTGAAATCGAGAGGACGAGTGTCCTCGGAGGACGAAGTGAGAGGAGAATCCGGAAGACCGCAGAGTATCACCATAACGTTTCCGTTGTACACGACCGATGGTCCGGAAAGAATAATGTCGCACGGATCCATTCAAATGACGCATTCATCTGACGATTCGGGCATGATTGCTCTCGGGGGTTGGTCCACGGACGATCCGTACAGGACGCAGAACTTGGAACGCCACGAGCAGTCTCGTCCCGCGGAAGAGAACGACCGACGAACGTACACGCCGGATCCGCAAAAAACGCCGTATTACGGGCACGATCCACGCGAACTGATCGTCGAAGAATCGTCGATGAGGAAGGACAACGACGACGACGACGACGACCTCTCTGTCGCCACGGATCGGTCGCAGGCCCAGGTCCCGACGACATCCCCAGGTCCCGCCATGCATCGCATCAGACCCTCGCCATCGGTACTGATGCACTCGTCGGGAACGGACGAGTTCTATCGCACGCATTACGACTCGTCGGTCACGGTGCACACACCATTGCAGAGATATCAAGCCAACGAGACGATTCCCGGCGTGCGCCCGGTAGAGATGACGCAGAAACCATCTACCGAATGTCCCAAAAATTCGGGATTGAAAACCCAACCGGTCGTCGGCCTAGCGGCGCTCATCGTCGTCGCCGTCCTCGGGCACGTCGTCATGGGGTTTTAATCTCGAGCGCGCCTTATCATCCGAATCGGCCGGACGGATCACGCGGAATAAAACCACGTAGGGGAGAACCGAGCTGACGTCTCGCCGATCTAAGGAATCGCATCCGAACACCCGGTGTTGTGACTTGGACCTTCTCGAGCGCGCATTTATATATTTAGCGTTGTAACTCTTCCTCATAGCTATCGAGCATTTCCCCATAAAAAAAAAATATATATATATATATATAAAGACGCTTCATAGGATTATTAACCAGACGCAAATATTGGCGAGAGATGTTGGAGAGGCTTGTGAAACTTTCTTCTCTGGGTTCGTTCTCCAGATATGGCAGAACCAGCTAAACCTGACGCGTAGGTATTGCGTAGATGTAAAAATCCTTTTCCAAAGAACTTCGCGCAAATCTTATGGAAAATGGCTCTTGATCAAATTACACTGTATTAGCAAGCTACAAATTTGAATATTTTGTAGTTTATGTTAAATTAATTAAAAGTCCCCTCGGGCACAAACCTCCAAATGTTTTTGCTCCAGGATCTTCGGAAGATCATCACATCTTATACGAAAAAATAATTAAAATAAATCTTTTTTTACTAATATTAATTATGAATATTGTATAATATGAATATATATTATATGTATCACGGAAAAATATATTGGACATAATATCACGAAAAAAGTATTAAATTGTTCAATTTTCCGAAAAAATATTACGATATAAAATATCTTGAAAAAAAAAGCTTTATTTTATTTTCTAATTCTAAGAAGCATGTTAGAGTTTCCAAAAATTAAAAATATTTTACTTTGTGTTCAATGTGTAATACGAACGCAAACTAAAGTTACAACATCTAATGAGAGAAAAGCGAGCAAGAATGAGGCAGTACATCGTTCGTTCCGGATAATTCTAAGAATGGATAATTACGTGTACTTATTACATTGATATTACATTGTTCATTCTGGATAATTCTAAGAATATAAGAAAGAAATCTTTTTTGTGTATCGATGTGCATCCGCAAGTGTACATTACACGAATGTAATAAAAAAGATTAATTTCAATTTTTCTGTACTTTTTCATGAAGTATGGAACTCTTCCGAAAATCCTGAAGTCAAAACCAAGCTATTTGGAGATTTGTGCCCATGAGGACTTTTAATCAGCTTGACATCAGCTACAAAATATTAAAATTTGAAGTAATTTGATCAAGAGCCATTTTCCATAAAATTTGTATGGAATTCTTTTATCGTCGCGTTTCCACATTCTGCATTCTTTTATTTATAACATATAATGAGCGCGAACTCGTTGAAGGTGAATTTAATAAGAAAAGACGGGGAATATTGCCGATGTTTATCAACTTCTAAACTTGGCGAATCTTTCATCTCGCGATCGAACGAACGTGGATTCTCGGAATCGCTCGGATACCCGATGGTATGTCGTAACATTTTGAAACGTTTGCCAAGTAGAAAAGCCAATATAGTTGAGTGTATACCGCGATTTTAATTGCAATTAAGTGACTCGGTCGCTGCGTGTTAATGAAATAATTAACAAGTGTCATCGTCCAATCGTGCAGGCGCGCGTTACGTAATGACCTTGCAACGCCGACTCGTTCGGGGCTCGGTACGGAGCGTGTTAAATATACGCTCAAAGGCGCCACTGTTCGGAGTCAAGTTCGCGCGACAGCTTCCCTCATTCTTCGTGCAACAGGTGCATCTTCACGGAGATTCCGCCGAGGTCGGTCGCGTCAGATGAGGGGCAGAGCGGCAGAGAGAAAACCGACCGCCAAAAGGCCGCGGAATGTGGAAACGCGACGATAAAAGGATTCCATACAAATTTTATGGAAAGTGGCTCTTGATCAAATTGCCTCAAATTTTAATATTTTGTAAGCTAATGTCAAGCTGATTAAAAAAAGTCCTCATGGGCACAAATTTCTCAAATAGCAAAGGTTTTTGCTTCAGGATCTTCGGAAGAGCGAGAGAGAGACGGAGACAGCCCTCTCGCTCTCGTAGAAGTCATCAGGGTGGCCTTACAACAAGGCGTTAATAAAACGTCCCGAATTATAACGAGAAGAAGCGATCTCGTTTATCTCCATTTTCCGAGACACACGTTTTCCGAGAGCCTCATCCCCACGATGAGGTCGATCCGCGAAGCGAACTTGAGATACGCTCAGTCGATTTTCCGTGGGATTCCATACCGATGACACGATCGTGTTAAATATGACTTCGACTAGCCATCTGTACTTCGACTAGCTGTCAATTATTTAACGCGATTTCCTTGGGCCGGGAAACGTGACGCGATATTCCGATCAATATAGACTTCAGTCGCGGGGTCGCAAGGTCATCGCGGAAAGAAAAGTTTCCGCCTTCAACTCGGTCGGGATACGTGTAAGTGCTGATGGCCTCGGAAATATTTGGCACGGCCCACGTGCGACGTTCTGTCTCAAAAGACCGTACTTACACCAAGCAAAACAATGCTTTTCCTCGTCCGTTCGAGTGTAACAGTTCCGTCCATCCCGCGATTGATGTCGGGAGAAAAAAAAAAAACGAACGCTCGCGATGGCATGCAAAAAATTGTTTGCTCAAACTGCGCACTTTTATCGCACGCGTTATTTGCGCTTCCGCGTTTTGGCACGAGGACAGACGGACGGACGGTCGAGTAGGTTTTGCTCGGGGATCAACAGGAGATCTCTCGGCTCGTTACAAAGTTCCGCGACATCGATTCACTTCAGAACGAAATAACGTAACGTAAACGTCTTTTAGCTGCTGACGAATCCGTCCGTCGTCTCGGTACAGTCAGAATCCGCCGCGCGGTGCGATGCGGTGCACGTTGTGCAACGCACCAGCGCACCATTAGGCAGCCAGTTAGACGTTACTTGCCAGAAATTATAAATAACGGAATTTCCTCAGCGGCGTATTATGGAGTAGGTCACGCGCGATATGATGAAGCGTCATCGACGCTTATGTAGCCTTCCCGCTTAGGTAGCCTCGCGCTGCCGAAAAAGAAAATCCAGCCCGCGCGCGCGGGTGCCGATCCGCGCATGTATCTGTAATCCGCGGCCGTCACGCCGACATTACATTCTTGCATCGAGTTTTACCATGTGTGAATGACATAGGATGAATCCCGCCGCCTCGGTCGTCGATAAAAATCGACGACCCCCTTGAAAATCGAACCGTGCCATTTTCCCCAAGATAAAGAGAGACGGAAGCCCTTCACGCCACTCGAGCGCGAATTCGATGATACTCTCTCGTCGGCGAATTGCGTGGCGAGCGCGCGTCTCGGAAATAGAAATACGTAACGCGTAGATGCTGCGTAGATTCTCGCTCTTGTTAACGAGCGGGGGCCCCGTAATCAATCTCGTTAACAGGGAGCGCGCTTGTGTACGGCCGCTCGCGCGGCCGTTATCTCCTCTTAAAAATCTATCTCCTTCCGCGACGAGTCTGGATCGAATTATCAATTTAAGTCTAAAGCCGACACTAAGCCTGCACTCTCCAGTCGGAGAGTAAACAGCCATCGACTTCTCATGTTTAATTGGCCCGATTGCCTTCTCTGATTACAGTGGGCCAAAGAGGCGGCGGAAGCTGAGCGCCTCGAGCAGATGCTGAAGATCGAGAACGAGGAAAACGGAGCCGCGAACAATCTCGCGCTGTCGATACAGAATCGCAACAGGGCTCGCGCCGACCAGTCGGCAAGCTTCTTCGATTCGTTAATCGACAAGTACGCGAAGAAGACCGAGAAAGCGACGAAAAAGAAAGATTCCCCTGCAAAGACTACAAAGAAAATCAGGAAGAAGACGTAGAGACATTACAACGACTATATGTTCGGGACGCACTGCCGCGCGTCCGCTTCCGCGTCACACTGAAAGTTTCAACCTCTCGTTAACATTTTTATAAATAATCGCAAAGCACAGACTTGCTGTAGATTTCCACCATGTGGACGGTTGTGTTTTAGTTTTTATATATATATATATAGATATATAAGTTCGCTAAGCTCGAAACGAATTATCGAATGGACTAACTTGTATGGTTTAATTATATAAATGTCAGTAAATGCGTCAATTAATCGTCAGTAAATGCAAATTAAATCGCTGTATCGAATTGAAACATTGTCTCGTGGTGTAAGTGCACAACGGCGTAAAAATTGTACACTTTATATAAAAACAAATGCCGTACTTGAGTTTTATGATAATACCCTCGAAAAAAAACGACAGGCTCTTGTAATTATTGTAATTTTCATCTTATATGATATGTGAGACAAAAATAGAGAAAGAATCTTTTTAATATTCTTTTTTTTTTAATAATTTCTTTAATCGTTTAGTTCACTCAAGGACAAAAGAACGAAGAACTAACTTAGAGGTAAGTATACCTTCGTATGTTTAATAATGCGAAACTATAGATTTACTGAATTAAATATCGAAACGGTGTTACAAGTATCACTTAATTGAATAATGATTTGGTGATTTACTTAACGTGGTTTGCATAAACGCCTCTAAACGCCTCTTTTATTCTTTTTGTTTCTTTTACATAACATTTTCTAACTTGAACTTTTCTCATACACATCATTATAACTAAAAATAATGTATTTCCATTTACAACGGAGAATGCTGCTGTCAAAACATGAATTAATAATTTTACGAATAAAATAAATATTTAATTTTTCAAGAAATTAATTCTGTTAGAATTGATTTTATGGAAAATCTTTAATAAAAAATGTTTTCTAAGTAAAAAAGAATGAAAGTCGCTTTCGAAATTATTTTTTCATACCGGCCAAAAGTTTCAAAGTCTTTCAAAGTCACTTATTTAGTCTCACGTAAATGCACGTGCAAAGTTTCGCGAGGATTATAAATTTTGGAAAAGTATTTTATTAATAGAATGTTGGATCAAAGCTTTCATGGTTCATGCGATTAATCCGTTCCGTTGCATTGGCACAATGCCAGCGTTTGCTGTCTTATAAACAATGTCTATTCGTCTTCCGGATGTCGACGGAATCGATAACCCCACTTTAAAATTAACTTTCGTTACACTTCGAAAACATCCATTATGTGGTTTATATATAGTGCGTGAAATGTTTCATAATTTGAACTCTAATGCGCACAGAATATTAAAAAAATAAGATAACGTGTACATTATTTTTAAATTCATCAGACAATTGTGGGAGGATTTTATACATATATATATAATATTTTACATTTCCTTTAATTAAATTATTTATTTTTATATATTTAATTAAATATTATTTTTATATATCATGTATATTTTAATTGAATTATAAGTTATAATTTTCCTATATCGATATCATTGAGGAGTGAAACAGGTTCTTATAACTTACAAAAGATTGCGCCAGTAGTATTTCTCGTTTCAATCTGACTTATTGCTATATATAGACTGAAAAATTTGCAAGTTCTTAAAATTATTCATATTTTTAAATGAACTTTGATATTTAACATGTGTATAAATAAATATAAATGTTTGATTAAGTTATTAAATATTTCACATATTTCTTAGAATCAGGAGGTATCTTAGATATTCTATAGTATATTATCATATAACATACATTATATCACCGATATTTGAAAGGATTAAAAAAATTCAAGCGATATGAAAAATATATATATATATATATATATATATATATATAAAACAATTCTCTGCAATTTGCTTAATTCGAGAATGTAATTAAATAGTAAGTTGATCTTTATCAGTACAATAATAGCTAAATGATATTATTTTAAAGATCTGGCGCTCATCAGTTTCGATCTGTCTTCTAATATCTTAAGTTATCTTCTAATATCTTAACATATTCTCAAAATACATCAAGTGCAATACATTTTCGAAAGATGCACCGAGGAGTCGAAACTTCTCACTGCGCGCAAACTCTCTTCGGCAGATTTAGGTGGCACCGTCATTAGTGTCACGGTCATCGATAAGCGCGGGCAATGTGTCAGTCACACCGTTGCCGTCACACAGCCCGTGAAGGATGAGGACGAGGGCAGGATCGAGAGGCAGAGATGGCAAAAGGGAAAGGGGGGAGGGAGAGGGGCAGACTCCTGCCGGGCATCTAGCATTTCTCTCTTGCTCGCGCGTCCCTCGTGTTTCACGCGAGCTGGTGATGATGGTGGCCACGATGTTATGGTGCTCTCAAATCGGTGTTGGTAGAGATGGTATGTACACTAGGCAAGTGGCCGCCTCGGCATGGTCAGTCTCGTGTTACGTCTGGGCTGGCTGGAGCGACAACACGGTGCACATCGGGTGACACAATTTCCAGTCGGTACCCTCCCTTTTCGCGCGGGATTTTTTTACGCACCGGGCTCGTACGCCGCCGCGGCATCTGCGGCGGTTTTTATCTATTTATTTTTTTTTTAATCTTAATCTCTCAGAGAAAAATAATATAGCATTCGTTGAATTGATGAGAGGTCCGTCTCATAAAATATAGAAGGGTTCGAGTTCTCTAGGCTAGAGAACTCGAACCCTTCTATATTTTTGCAATAAATTTATTATAAGATATTCAATTCAAGATCAGATTGTATATCATTTTTTAATAATGCGCTCCTAGCTTTTTACACCAAATAGTAATTTGAAAGAATTCAACAGCCTAAAAGCACAGTGTATAAAAATTAATTATTAAGATGTAGGATTCCAAAAATGTCAACATCTATATCTATTTCGCGTATCTATATTACTTACATGATACATCTACCTACAACTATGTTACATTATAATGCTTAACGTGTATACGATTATGTACAAATATAATGTTATCTCGATTAATTAAATATATTTTTGTGCAGTGATTAATTTGATCTTTTTCGCCACAATTCTTCGTCACAATTCTTTAACGTGTCTCCGTGAAGCAGAGCGAAAGCCAGAGTCCTCGGCGAACGAGCCACCCGTTGTGCACGAAATCGGCGCGCACTTTGACAAAATCACGTACGGGCAATTATGGATATGTGGTGCAAACATAGGTAGCAAAGTGTAAACCATCATTATTTTTAGCCAGACATGTAACAGGAGGCCGGATCGGAGTTTACCAAAGAACGGTAACACAATAGCCGGGCAAAGTAACCGGGCTCGTATTTTTTCGCCCTATTAAACGGCAATTATATATATCGCGACCTGTTGGCGATTGTGGCGGAACGTTCTCGCACGCAAGGCCCATGCTCGTGCAAACGTCGAACAAACAGATGAATCGCGTTGTGCAAGAGGATAAGCGGTTTGCCGCATTATGAAACAATCTGATTAGCGAAGCGTCGAACGTTCAAGCCCTCTCTCTCTCTC